GTAGACAAGTTTGAATGTTGCGCGTAGTTAGATAGGCAGAGCGGTTCATACGAGTGCGACGCATTGTGTTGACGTGCAGGCAGACATTTTTGAAAATCTTATGTAAAGCCAGTCGTCTTCTAAAGCACTACAGTTTAAAGGAAACAGATTGATAGAAAGGTGTGATATGCCACCACTGGTATGTTTACAGAATGGGATGCTGAAAATAATGTAATTTTGTAACACAAAATCGATGAAAAATGTTGCACAATGCAAAATTAAGAAATTGAAAAAAAAATGTTTTAGAATGCTTCTTTCCTAAAACATTAACGATTTAAAAAGTGTTTGTATTGTATTTCTAATTTGTTTTGACTGAAATTCGAAGAAAAAAAGGATTTTTCGCCAGTTTTCAAATTACTGTATCTCTTTAATTATGAGTTGGATACCATTAGTATATTAACATTTTTTGTTCCTAATTACCTCAGGAATGCCCTCCCTAAGTGGGAGTAAAACTTTGTGAATCACTCTGTATGAACCTCAGGAGAACCGGGATATTTGATGCTCTGGTGTGTACGGCATAGACGTTTTCTGGTTCATAAGAATAGAAAATATTCTTTTCAGAAGAGCACACTGGAACATCCCCTTTTTCGGAGGGGGGGGATTTTGTAACACGTGTTCTATCCACCACAAAAAATGAAGTATGTTGTTTTTCCCTGGATACCTGACCACGTATGGGGTACGCGGTAGCATAGTTGGTTGAGGCACTATGTTACAAGCTGAAAGGTCGCGGGATCGAGTCCCGATGAGGTCGATTTTTTTAATTTACCTAATTCTTCCAGCCGCACTATGGCCCTGAGGTCGATCCATCCTCTAACATAAATGAGTGCCAGGAATCTTCCTGCAGGGAAAAAGGCTGCCGGCGCGTAAGGCTGACAACCTTACCTCCATCTGTGAGCTGATTGTCTGGAACAGCCGTGTCAAACATGCGGCCCCCATAGCCACAAATTGCGGCCCTTCAACTTTTAGAGCTAATTGATATTAAAATCAATATTAAAATTTTAGTAGAAATATTTTTTTGTAAAGACAATTTTCCAGCAGACCAGAAGACAAGAAGTCTCACACAGACATAAATTAGCAGGCTGCAGGAAATTCAATGTTTTGCTATTTCTAACATAATTTCTTATGTAATCTCTCTTTTTACATATTGAAAAGCTGTTTGATACTTGTAAAAAATGGCATTCTCTTGCTTTTTAAAACTGTAAGATATGTGACTTTAGGTAATTATATTGAAATTATTCCTAAATAATAAATAGAATTAAATTTCCTTTATCAAAATCTAATGTATATTTCTATTTTGAAGTGCGGCCCTGGACTATTATTTATAGCGCTGAGGTGGCCCTCTGTACAAGTTGAGTTTGACATGCCTGGTCTAGAAGATTTCGGAGCATCAACCTCTCACAACCCTATGGGCCTTCATGGCCTGTTACAGGGTTAACCTTACCTTTACCTGACCACACAAGTCTGCCGAGGAATGAAGCAGAGGCAGAAGAAGCAGCTCCGCTCTGACGTAACATCTGACTAAGCCCCCCGTATCCTGATGTTCATGCCCCTTTTTATAGCTCCGTCAAATCGCTGCGACAAGACAAATGCACGCAGTACATGGTGAAACCGCACATGCAAGAGTGACATAACTCTCACAGCTCCCTCGGTGCTGAGGAATTATTGTAGCGAGGTTTCGGATTGGTCACGCACGTCTCACACGCGGGCACGTGTTAAGACGCGACTCGGCGCATGTCTCAGTCAGTATAGCACTCGGCGACGGGCTGGCCACCGAACAGTCGGGGTTCGATTTCCAGCAAGAGATTTTCCTCTTTTCTGTGGTCCACGCAGGCTCCTATACAGTGGGTATCGGAGACTGTTTTCCTAGGGGTAAAGCGGCAGAGGCGTGACGCTGACCATTCACCTCCATCTCATTTCGAAGTCTTTGTGGTGTGGTGTTTAATTAATTAAACCCTTGGAAAACTTTCCCTTCACCTTTACCCGGCACGTATTTGTAACCAGTGTGAATTTGTCTTTACCACTTAACATATTCCGCAGGGATGCCCATGTAATGACTCAGAATGGAAAGCATTCCATCTCTTGGCTTGTTGCGGGGTATCTCAGGAGGTGATCATCGTATCGTGTCTAACGTTGTGGCACTTCTGCCTTGTATAAGGGGAACAAGTATATTTAATGCGATCTATTTACATATTCTGCTAGAGTAATTTTTATCTTAATATTGATTTAAATAACCTTAAGGACATATACGGCCTCCTCCTTTCCTCTCTCCTTTCACCTCCACAGTGTCCTAGTTCTAAGATTTTAACGAGTTTACAAAATAAACTCATTGACTCCCCTTTACTCTCCAGTTTGAATATTTTAGGCACTGTTTTATTGTTCTTCTTGTTGCTGTTTTTGTAATGGTGTAACGGGATATTGTATAGTTTGCTGTACAATAATCTTTATTCGAATTCTAGTTTTAAGATTTTGACGACTTTATACAGTGGACTAATTCACTGTCCCTTATTCTTCCGATTCAATATTTCTAGGTATTTTTATTTTGCTGTTTTTGTAATAGTCTGACAGGCCGCCGTGCAGCCTGGTGTACAGTAATTTTAAAAGAATATTTACTTTACATATGATATATGTCCCGCGCGTCTCGTCCCCCTGGATTTGTTGGTTCTAAAAGGATTGCTTTATAATTGTAATTATATGAACCTCCTGATTATGCAATTTTCTCCGTCCTTCTGTTACTTCCTCTCTTTTAGTTTCGACTGTTTTCATCAGCACCCTGCTACCAAACACTGACTTTGTGTTCTTCCTGTAGGAAGATCTGCTTTTCAGTCTTTAGACTTTTAAACAGATGTTGGAAAGATAAATGATTCTGAGCCAGGAGATTGAAAGTTTTTGTGGAATTATTTTTTCTAATTTCACTGAAAATATCATTCTAGTATATTTCCATATATTTTCTGTGACTAAAATAAATTAGCTGGTATGTTTTGGACTGTTACGCCTTGTGAGAGGAGACTGTGTTTATGTTTTTCAAAGTTATAGATTTTGCTCTCAGTTTAGTGTTAGCAAAATGAACTACGTGTTTTATATGTGATAGGTTTTATGTTATTTTATTCTTTTCTATATTGACATAATTACAATGTGCGTAAATGTTAAAATTGATTATACTCTGCTATGTAATGTTTCACTTATGAAATTAAATTAAGTACAAAAAATGCATTTATTACATCATTAAACAATCTCAAGACTATCGACTGAGATTCACCCCGACTTACAAATAGCATATTAAATTGTTCCCATGTACTAAACATTATTTATTGATAGACCATTAGGATGTGAAAATAATGCTGAAATATGTGAGTATCATGGGAAAAAATGCTTCATTAATATATTATTACATAAGCAGGTAAGAACACCACACCTTATAAATTCTCACTCACTTTAGCCTGAAATACGGATCTTCGCTAAGACACGTCCTGTAGGATTCTCAGTTTATGAACCAATCAGAGACGTTCATTCATTTTTTCAACAAGAGAGTTTGTAAATCTAAATTAATATGATGATTTTACCAAGCACAATAATATTGGAACATGTATGTGGAGCTTTAAAATTACTCTTCGACCCTGAAAATAGATACGATATATTTCTCCGAAACGCCGGTTGATTTTCAAAGGAATCCACGGCATTATATACCAGAAGATAATGGTAACCCTTGGAGTGTGGTTCTGGTAATCTAACGATAAGCCACCTACAAAGTTTAATGTGGACTGCCTCTTGTATTATTCCACAAGGACGATATAATTCACTGTGAGGCAGCCGTTAAGTCGTCCATTCTCCGCCTGTAAGCCACAAGCTTGTTTAACGCAGCTCCAGGGCAAGACTCTGCTGGTTCTGCGACACTCCCAGCAGTAAGAGTGAGAACAAGACGCTAAGGAAGGTACTTCTGAGGCCACATTCTGAGGCTAGCGGAAGCTATAAACTATAAAAGTCATCTGGACTAGTACTCAGTTCTGGGTTCGATCTTCTTGACTGTCAGTAATAAAAATGAGCATTTGCATGTTTTCAGCCAGGCAGGAGCAAACATTGCTTTATCCGTTTAGTAACTTCCTAAAACGAGCCTATAAGTATTTGTGACGAAAATGAGACGATGAGGAAGTGTCACTCATATGTAATTAAAATAAATAATTAAGCCATACAATCACAATATTCATGTTAGTATAATAAAGAGAATGAACATGTGACGAAAGTTTAATGTATATTTCTTCCTATTTCGGCCACCTCTCATATAATTTCCTATTGCTTTATATCGGTGTGATCGCGGCATAAGGCATGAACTCTCTTCGCTCTCTCGGACGCTGGGATCGTGGGCTCGAATCCAACTTTGTGCGTGTATATGTTTATTCTGTGTTTGTGTTATCCTGTGTTTAGATAGCGGCCTTGCGATGGGCTGGTCACTCGTTCAAGGTGTCCTACCGTCTGTGAAAAACGATTACGGAACTGAATAAGAGGCCTGGGCCCTGAGCGGGCTGGAAGAGCCACTGAAAAATAATTATATCGGTGTTTATTATTTTATTTTTATTTCTTTTCTCTGTTTATTTCTGTTCCTTTCATCTTCCTTAGTTTGTTCTTTCTCTCTCTTCTCATGCTTTATCTCCCCTCTCCGTCAATTCTGACCTTTTTCTCTACATAATTATTCCTATCTTCTTTCGTTTCCTATTTTCAGTTTTATGTTTCTTCCTCCATTTCTTTGTATATCTTAATTTACTTCATTCGTGTGTTTGTTCTTTTCATGTTTCCTTCCATTTTCATTGTAACTTTGAGACTCTGGTTTCAGCTTCCTATTGTACTGGAACGCAATTTCCTGGCCGGGCCAGTCCAAGTCGTACAGCGGGCCTGACAGGGCTATTGTGGGAACGCGCGTCGGTTCATTGTGAACGTGTCTACAGTGTCACATCTCTGCTGTGTTCCAGAATGACCTCGTGACGGAGCTGTCCACAACAGCGCTGACTGGCAATAGTACGGCCGACGAGGAAGAGCTCGAACCAGATGCACTCACCACACTCACCGTCGTGCTTATCGGTAAGCATACTCACTTCCAGTACCTCCCAACATCTCCTTTAAGTAAGTCATATAACAGTGCTTTCAGTATCGCATGACCGGTGAATGCTGATTTCGAAAGGACTTTGAAGGATACGATTGTCTTATCCCAGGATTTTCCTCGAGGAAATAAGAAGATCCACGAAAAAAAACCACTACTCACAACCGGCGTCCGTGCCGAGTTGCGAACCAAGGACTTCCCTGAATACAAGTCTAGAGCATTACCGATAGACCAAATGTTCGGTACATCCCATCGAATTAACCCTTACATGTTCGTAATTGGTGAATTAGCAACCTGTCAAATGAACAGATACTTGCCTTTGTGAGTAATTGAATGGATAGCTGGGTAATATAGATTTCAGCGCCTGTCACAGTGGCCGCGCGGTCTGATGCATGAAAAGCCTTGGCATGCTCGAACACTGAGATCCTAAGCTCGAATTTCGTTCCAGGTATGGATATCAATCTACGTCTATTCTGTGTTTGTGTTGTCCTGTGTAGGTAGTGAGCGGCCTTGCAACGGGCTGATCCCCGTCCAAGGAATCCTACCGAAAGTCTATAACAGGCATGTCCAACTTCAAACAGTTTATGATCGACGTTTTAGCGTCAAAACTGCCAGTGATCTACCACCCCTCCTATCGTCGTACCTCGCTTTAAACAAAAATATTGGTAAAAATAACACGACACATGATGTTTGTCGTAAAAGCAACTAGTAACTGGGCCGTGTCTCTGATGTCTGTAGATTCATCCAGTTGGAGGGAGAAAGCAACACAATTGGAAACATCTTTCAGCAACTGTTCAGTTATATCTCCACACATCATTTCTATTCGCCTCACAATGGTGTTTCTTGATAATTGAAGATCTTGAATAGTAGCTATGATCTCTTTCTTATTTTATATTACAAGTGAATTTACATGCTTTTTACGTATAATTTCCATATAGGCCTATGAGATTTCAGGCTTTAGGGCATAATAAGCCTAACAGCAATAAAAGTAACACCCTTAAAATAATAGAACTTAAGAACTATTCGAGATATATGTTACAGGCTAATTATTAATTTAGGTATTCTACAATACTTAGGCATTCTTCAAAATGCTTTAACATATTATGAAAAATTAATATACGTAGATTTTTCAGGTGATGACATAGCGTTCTATTATTAAAAGATATTCCTAAGTTGATTACGAACTCTCTCCGTACCAAATTCCAAATACCTACGTCCAGTGGTTCCTTAATCATCTTCATAAAACCGAAATCTAACTAGGCCCCTAGATTTTGCTCGGCGCTTTAATTGTTTGTTTTCAATCTGCGTTAAAATGGACTTGACAAATGTTCCATACTTACAGGAAATATCTCAGCACAAAACAAATCAGCTCCTCCAATTAACAACAGCTAGTGATACTAACACCTCAGGTATTAGCGATATTGGTCGCCTTAAGATCTGTGACAGTGGCCTGTTCGATATACACGTATAAGCACTATGTTGGACAAGACCCATGGCCTTAAGTATATTGTGACAGTGATCGAGACTAACTCCTACAAACGCCCCCAACAGGGCCTGAGCAGGATCCCTAACCTCGCAGCTGAAAATGGAAGCGGGACATATAATTAGGAACTTACTTATATAATTCTCGTAATCGTCTTATTGCTAGATTTGAAGACATATTAGTACAACACTGCCTTAAATTATATCACGTTTTCAGCAAGTTCTTATGAGGAACTGGTAAACACACACAAACGGATGAGCTCACATATATTAGAAAGGCATTCTGTATGAGCAAAGTACGAAATGTACGCGAGGTAAATTGCCGCAACAGAAGAAACATTTTTTACTAATCCCGTCTTATTGATATCTTGTAAAGTAAGCCTCTAGCTAACGACCTAACTTACTCCATGGAAATGAAACGTTCTTGAGAAGCTGCTAGTTGCGCGGCTACTCAAAAATTTCACAACATTTTACGGAACCCGTAACTTTATTATCGTGTTCGCAAGAGTATTCCACTAGTCCCTATGGTGAGCCAGATCAATCCAGTTTATGCTACCTCATCCTATCTCTCCAGGATCCATCTTAATATTATTCTCCTACCTCTCTCTGTCTTCCCAGTGGTCTCTTTCCTTCTGGCTTTCCTGTTAAAATCCTATACGTATTCATCTTCGCCCCATGCGTGGTACATGTCCTGCCCATCTCATCTTCTTTGATCTGATCTCTGTAATTATACTTGGAGAAGAGTACAAGTTGTGAAGCTCCTCATTATGCAGTTTTCTCCAACCTCCTGTCACTTCATCTCTCTTCGGTCCAAATATTCCTCTCATCGCCTCGTTCGAAAGCCTCTGCTTTGTAGAACTGCATATTACCAAATATTTCAGGAGCTGCAGCCAAGAACTGCTCTCTAATGACTTAAATTAGTCTTTTGTTCATAAGGAGACGTTCAACAAGCAATTTCAACAACCGTGGAATGAATTTATTAAACTCCGAGAACAAGAAGTGGGTGATTTATATAATTGAATGGACCCAATTGCGAACGTGGTGACAAATACGGCAAAAATGCATTTCTCAAAGAGGCATGAAATGTAGATATAATGAAGCAATTAACTGGAACCAAAAAAATTATACTGGAATCTCTTATTCTGTTGAATATGACGACAATATATGTGGCATGAGAGCAGTTTACACACAGAAGTTCTTTTCAAATCCGAAATTGAAATTAAGTCATAATAAAGTAAAAGAAGGGACTAGTAACGAAGATATATTTCGAATGTGATATTTACATTGTACTCTTTAAGGTACGACGTAGTGTAGTCTGGTAAGTGGTTATCAAATTTTCGGTGAGACCTGAGATTTCCATCTTCAGAATAAATTTACTACTCTCAAGTTGAAAGGAGGCACGCGGTAGCGCAGTTGGTTGAGGTTCTATGCTACAAGCCGGAAGGTAGCGGGTTCAAGTCCCGATGAGGTCATTGGATTTTTTCAATTGACCTAATCCTTCCAGCCGCACTATGACCCTGGGGTCGACTCAGCCTCTAACAAAAATGAGTACCAGGAATATTCTTGGGGCTAAAGGGCGGCCGGTGTGTAGGGCTGACAACCTTGCCGCCATCTGTGAGTCGATTGTCTAGAAAATGTGAAAACCTCAACATCTCACAACCCTATGGGCCTCCACTGCCTGTTACAAGGATACGTTTATATTTTTTACTCTCAAGTTGGAGGCAGTATGTTCCAGAAAACGTAAGCAATGAACTGCCAAACTACACGGTGTTAGCCCAGAAGACCACAACCTAATTCTTCATTGGCATGAATGCCTTAGACCTCACAGGGAATATAATATATTTCCAAGATTCTTGAATTTAATCTGTAATTGATAACTAAATAACAAACTAACAGAGTGAACCAGTAACTATTCAGTCACCAACTTATAATCTATCTACGTAACTAGCCAACCTAACTAATTAAGCTCGTGTATATTTAACCACACATGTTTATTTATAGTCGAAACAGTGTTAGTTTTCGTAACCGTCGTTGTAAGGATTCCATTATGACTGAAATAAAGGAGTACTACAAACACGCGTAGATTTTCCTGAAATTCGCGTCTGTACAATTCATTACGCAGTTCCATAAAGAACAATGAGACCAACATGCCTTGAAAATGCAATATGGTGTCTCGGTAGACGAACAGTGAGCAGCGATTTAAGTTGTGGCCACTACAACTGATACCACGAGCTGTTGTAAATTATTTGCATATTTTTAATTATATTTATGATAATTGATCTGTTGTAATGTTTTGTTATCAAGCCGTTAGCACATAATTTTATAGCTTCGTCTTAATTGTTACTTTACACTGTCTTGTTATTTTGATCTCACGACTTTTCTGTTCAAATTAAATTCTTTTTCATAAATTAATCAGCTCTGCATATGACGAATATCCTACCCTTATTATTTTACTACCCGTTTCGCTTCGCATACTCACAATCAAATCGTAAACAAATTACTGAGAAAAATACAATATTCAAGAAGTTCTTGCAAATAAGCATTTCCATGAAAACTGCCACTGCTTACGAGAAATGGGTTGCCCTTTGTAGATCCACCTGCCGGCAGAATTACGTACTACCTGTGCGTCTGAATGCACAATCTGACGCAGCATTTTACACTTACATCATATAGCGAGATTCTTCAGATGAGTTTAAATTCATTTGTTAAGTTTTTTGTATTGCATGTTTGATAACATGGAGCTTATGGCAGTGCAGCCCTGTTTCGAATCCCCCATGTATGATGCACAGCCTCGTATGCAGCAGAACGGGAGAGTTCGGGTCGCCGAGATATCTGACGCACCGATGTTCACGGTTTCCGATAGTGACATCTGGTGTCCCTGTTCGTATATTGCTCTGAGCCCAATATCATCTATAGGATGAGGTACCATTGTGCAGTTCTGTCAGCCATCGATAAATTCTTAAAAATGATATGCAGTCAGGATGTCGCCATTCCGGAAATTCTACCGTGTACAACCATGAAGAAACGTTTGCAACACCTCCAAACCCTCCAACACCACATACATACGTACGTACTGTATTTATATAATTAATGTTATCGGACATGGACTATGGATTACCCTACACCAACTAAGCATACCGATGCATTCTAATCTAAAAAGGAAAGTAAGAACAATACTAATATGGGTTGTGGGCACGCGGTAGCTTGGTTGAGGCACTACACTACACACAAGAAGGTCTCTGGTTCGAGTCTCAATTACGTTATTTTTTTCAATTGACCTAATCCTTCCAGCGGCACTATGGCTCCGGGGTCGACTCAGCCTCTAACAGAAATGAGTACTGGGAATTTTCCTGGGGGGTAAGTGTCGACAGGCGCGTAAGGCTGACCTCACCGCCATCTGTGAGCTGACTGTCTAGAAAATGTGGGTGCCGCGACGTCTCACAACCCTGTGGGCCTTCACTTCCTCTTATAGGAATAACTTTGCCATTTTTACCTCATA